TGCTAACTAATAATTTTGAGCAGATTAATATTTCTTTTGGAGGTGTCAACGACCGTCTACCAAAACTCTACACTTTTTAATATTTTATTTTGTTAATGTAAAATTAATGAGAGTGCTCCAATTTAAACTCAAGTGATGATTGTTACACAACATCAAAGTTGCAAACTCAAGATGAACTAAATTTTTATATATGAATTATTAAAATAAAATTAGACCTGAATATTTATATTCAATATTCAAACTTCAGTCTTCAGTCTTTAGTCATCAGACACAAAATTCAAACATCAAATTCAGAGTTTAAATAATATGAATTTGGTGTTCAGACTTCAGATTTCAGGATTCAGTCTTAAGTGATTATCAAACAGAACCTATTATGAATCAAATCTCCACCATTTTAAATATCAACTCAGTTTTACTCTCTTTTTTTTGTTTTTTAATTCGTCATATCAGACATGACTTTCTCACATCCACCACCCCAAATAGCTTTCTCTAAAATCTATTTTAAAAAATATTAATGGGGATATTTTTCTCATTTTCTTTGTTTAATTATTTCATCCATTTTTTTCACATATCTGATGAAAGATTCTCTTCCAGTCTTCCTCCTTCTCGTTTTTCTCGGACTACATTTTTTTTACAAAATATTAATAAACAATAGTGTAGTTTCAAAAAAAATTTAATTACAAAAACAGAATAAAACATTCATCACGATAATTTCAATAACTTTACAACTTAGTTTTCTACCATTCTTTATTCATTTGAAACCTTAACGTAAAACATGTTAGTGCACCTTGATTTCAAATTTATTTACTAGAATTTTTTTGTTACAGATTGCAATGTTCAATGTAAACCAATCTCAGTCACTAAGGGCACGTTCGTCTTTTTTGCATTTAACAACTCCCTTTTCTTGCACGTGAGTGTCACGTGTTTTTTTTTTTTTGACTTGACTTGACTCTCATTTTATAATTATTTCCATAATTTTCAAAACAAAAAAATTATTTCCAATTTATTCTTCAGACAACATCATTTAACTCTTCAATTTCCACACTGTCCATAGAGGAGAAACGAGAAAAAGAAAGAGAAAAGAACTAAGAGCATCTTTCACAGAGACACTGAAACACTTAATTTGGTTTTTGCTTTAAATTTTACATCAACGAAAACACTGAATCAGTACACTATTTCTAACCTTCCATAATTCCCAAAGAATAAAAGAGGGCATACTGGAATGATAAGTGAAGAAAAATTACCAAATACCATAAATTTAAAAATGCTTTTAAACCTGAAACCACGAGTAACAATAAGCCGAGTGTCCTAGTAAAATGATCCCATATCTGATGGGAGTACTGACATAGGTAAAAAAAATGTTGTATGTATTCGCTTCCGGACTTGCAAAAAGGCCATCTTGAAGGAAAAAGCACAGATTCCCATTTTAGTGAGTTCCATGCAAAAGGAAGAAGATTATTGAGAAACTACCAAAAAGAAATAAATTCTAAGAGGAATAATCTTGTTCTAAATAAACTTTGAGAAAGGAAATTGAGTTTGTGTCTCTCTATTGTTTGATACAATTTAAATTATGAAAGATAATAAACATAGTGACAAATATATAGTGAAAAGATATAGTGACTTAGTTGGCCCCCTATTTTGGTGGCACTTAGCCGTAGAACTTATATGTTTCCATATTAAATGTACATTTTACCCCTTAATTAGTTTGTACCCATCAGTCACTATTAGATTTCACTATGAGTTTTCACTGTCTCTAACATTGTTGTTAAAATATACACTATCTTGAATATGAAATATAATAAATGGTGAATGTAATTTACGCAACAAGACAGGGACAAAAATTATTATATCACAAAATCTGACACAAAGTTTATCATATAATTACGACGATAACACTCAATGCAACGCACGAGAATAATCTCACATATGATCATAATTTTACAATTTTACGTAATACATGTAATACATCCGTGCAACGCACGAGAATAATTCTAATAAAAAGTTATTAAGAAATAACCTATACCAAATGCAGATTTTAATCGACCAATAAAATAAAACTCAAACTAAAACACTTAACATTTAAACCTTTTGGTGCATTAAGTTTGGAGTGCAAAGAAATTTGGTATATAAAGATACTTAAAATTGAAAAATTATTGGGTACAACTGCTGTATCCTGATTTTTATTGCCTCAAGTATTAGTACGCCATATTTTGGTGTTATAATTCCGGTAGAAATTATCTCTCTCCCTCCAAAATTACTACTTTACCCTATTTATTGTGGGTATATAATTCTACGTGGTACAACAGCTGCACTTAATAATTTCTCCTTCAAATTATATTTCTACACCAAATTTAGTGTAAATTATAGTAAAGAATTGCACTAAATTTGGAGAGTAAATTTAGTGCGAAGATTTTCTAAGGAATTGCACCAAATTGATTTGCTGCTGCACCTCAAACGTAATGCATACGCCCGAGCCCTATTTCTCTTTCATTCCTCCACGGATACGGCTGATCGCAGAGGTATGATCTTTGTTGTTTTCTTGTACTACGTGGGTCGATCTTTGTGAATTTGTCTAAAATGAAATTGATGGCTCATAATTAAGGTTTCCAATTCCTTCGTTTTTATACATCTTTTCGAGAATCCTTTGCATTTTTTTTCCTTTTCGGATTCTAATACACCTATATGAAATGCGAGTTATTATACTATGCACATTAAGTGCATCTAACTAGGTGCACTTAGACTTTTTTTTTTTATTATTCAATAACGGAGGGACTTCATTATTATTATTTAACATGCTTTCTTTTTCTTTTTCAATGCACGTGTCCCTTCTCCTTAATTTTAGGAAGTGAGTTTTAAAAATTTCTTTTATCTTCAAATGATTTTATTTCTTAATCCGTAAAGAATTACATCAATTGTCTTACATCATTTTGATAGTATTCGATGATATCTATCCAACAAGATCCATCATGAATATGTTTTTTGAAACTTAAAAAAATTTATGCAGGGGCCTTGGTTTTACTAAAAGACATTTTGGTCTTACTTGTATCTTGTAGGACCAAGACCTACAGAAAAGACCAAAAATTGAATACCAAGAAGAAAAGACCAAAGACCAGAGTAAAGAGCGAGAGTGTATGAGAAACAAAGACAAAAGACCAAAGACCAAAGACCAAAGACCAAGAAACCGAAGACCAAAGAGCAAAAACTGAAGACCTAAGATCAGAGTGAAAGAGCGACCGTTGTGTGAGGAGCAAAGACCAAACATCAAAAACCAAAGAGCAAATACCAAAGACCAAAGACGAAGGCCAAGGACTAAAGACCCAAGACCAAAGACCGAAGGCCAACGAACAAAGACCAAAGACCAAAGACCGAAAGCCAAAGACCAGAAACCAAAAAATATTTTCAAAAACTAAAGACCAAAGAGTAAAGACCAAAGACCAAAATTAAAAGCGAGAGTGTGTGAGGAGTAAAGACCAAAGGCCAAAGATAAAAAATCGAAAAAAAATATTAGTGTGTTTAGGGTTTATGGGGGTTTAAGCATTTACTTTTCGGTTACAGTCTAGTTGTTTAGAATTTAGGGTTTAGGGAGGATTAAGCATTTCCTTATCGGTTAAGGCCTAGTTTGTGCCGTAACACAATTAACCTATAAAATTTTTTTAAACCAAAAAAAAAAAATTAGTGTGTTTAGGATTTAGGGGGGTTTAACTATTTCCGTCTCAGTTAGGTCTAGTTGTTTAGGTTTTAGGGTTTAGAGAGTTTAAGCATTTCCGTGACGGTTAGGGCCTAGTTTGTGTTGTAACACGATTAACCTTATAAATTTTATTAAACTAATTAGACTAGGGTCTCGTTTGAAAAAATGTAAACAAAAAAAAATTAGTGTGTTTAGGGTTTAGGGGAGTTTAATCATCCGTGTCGGTTAGGGTTTAGTTGTTTAGAGTTTAGGGTTCAGGGGGGTTTAAGCATTTCCGTGTCGGTTAGGATCTAGTTGTTTAGGATTTAGGGCTTAGCGGGTTTAAGCATTTCCGTGTCGATCAGGGCCTAATTTGTGCCATAACACGATTAACCTTATGAAATTTTTTTAAACCAATTAGGCTAGGGTCACGTGACCCTAGCCTAATTAGTTTAAAAAAACTTAAACCAAAAAAATAAAAAAAAAATATTAGTGGGTTTAAGCATTTCCGTGTCGGTTAGGGTCTAGTTGTTTAGGGTTTAGGATTTAAGGTGTTTTAAGCATTTCCATGTTGGTTAGGTCCTAGTTTGGTCTTTTAGCCATTGGTCTTTGGTCTTTGGTCTTTGCTCCTCACACACACTCGCTATTCATTCTGGTCTTCGGTCTTTAATTTCTCGATTTTTGGTCGTTGGCCTTTTGTCTCTGGTCTTTGTTTTTCACATACGCTCGCTCTTTACTCTGGTTTTGGTCTTTGATTTTTTTTTCTTTGGTGTTTGGTGTTTGGTCTTTGGTCCTCACACACGCTCGCTCTTCACTTTGATCTTTGGTCTTTGATTTTTTGTCTTTGCTCTTTGGTCTTTGCTTTTTGGTCTTTGACCTTTGGTCTTTGGTGTTTGCTCTAGGTCTTGGTCATAAAAGACACAAGTAAGACCATATCGTCTTTTTGGAATACCAAGGCAACTGCATAAATTTCTTAAAGTTTCGAAAAATATATTCATGATGGATCTTGTTGGATAGATCTCATTGAGTACTATCAAAATAATATAAGACACTTGGTCTAGTTTATTACGGATAAGAAATAAAATCATTTGAAAATAAAAGAAATTTTTAAAAGTCACTTCCTAAAATTAAGGAAGAGTAGTGCGTGTGTTCATGTTTAGCCTCATTTCTTATAGTAATTGCCAAATAAGATTGTATGTGTACCTAGCTACATGCACTCAATATGCATAGTATAATTTTTGCTTTAATGCGTACCAGCATTTGTTTCTGTTTTTGTTTTTTTTTTCCTTTTCTTTTAATTTGATTTTTCTTTTTTTTTTGGCCTGTATGAAGGATGGCATCTCCGGGAAAGGTTCATGCTACCGGAGTTGTTGAACTTGAGAAGCAGGATCCGGAAATTTTCACAAACAATTTTAGTAGCGAGAATTTCATCTGCCAGGCCCAATATTGCAATCTTTATCATGGTAAGATTCCCGGGGGTTGGAAAGGGCTTGAAGGCGGAGATGTGACGGTGAAGGTTTGGGTGCGAATTTTAAAAGCTCATGAGAAACATACTCTGAACCGACCCCACTACTTACTCGTGGAAAACTTCCAAGTGTGTAAACCCATCCGAAAAAAATTACTTTCAATTTGGTTGTTGGAAAAATATGCACTGTATTTCTTAGTAACTTCATTGATGTACTTAGCTTGTTTCAGTATGAATTAGAGTTTCTGCAGTCTCCTAAAGCAACTTCTTCTCGCTACTTGCTAAGGCTGATTGCGCTTTCCCGTGATGATAAGAGTGAGTTCTTGGGAGTTGTTTATGATCTCAGGCTATCAAATACGCTGCGTCACTTTGTTGATAAAGGTTCGTTTTCCACCAATCGTCCAAAAATAAAATGCGATCTAAAGTGAAAAGTTTAAGAGATTTAGTTGAAGTCTATTCTGCCTAGGTTCAGATTTTATTGTTTCGGAACATGATGGACTTCATTTCCTAAAATATGAACAATGAAGTACATATGTGCTTTAACAGAGATCATGAAACTGTTGTTTCTAAGTGCGAACACAAAATGTTCATTTTTTTTTTTTTTTTGGGGATCCTCACTTTTTCTTCTTGTTGAAATCATCTTTGCTTCTTTTGTATGCGCATGCAGTGGAGTTTAAATGGCTTGAAAGAATTAAGGTAGCTGTTGGAATTGCTCGTCTGCTTAGGTATCTGATTCATGAGGAGCCAAGATATTTGGTCCGGGATCTTTCTGCTGCCCACATAATGCTGGACAAGGTCTAGTGTGGTGAATACTGAATACATTGTGGCATTTCATTGGTTCAGTGCTGTTCTAAGGTTTATTTGTTATTTCTACATTTAGGATTGGAACCCTTTCCTGATCAACTATTTCAAGCTGGATGGTGTGGCGATGGATAGCATGCAGCCCGAAGCACACTCGGATCGGATGAGTTTTGGATCATGGGGCTACATTGATATATATTATGTCAATTCAGGTGTGTATCTCAATGTTTGATTCCAAAATTCTGTCCAAGTTTTTGATGGATTTCTTATGATATCTCAGTGTCACTGTGTTTGCCTCGAATAGTTGTATGTCTTTAGTGCAGGAGCTTGGCATGTGTTTGGAACTATGTATATATTTATTACGATGGATAAAAATCTTTTAATCTGAAATTTGAATTGTAGCAGTAAAATGTAGCTATGTATGTGCATGTTGATTATCTAGAAGATCTCGTCTATCTGTTCTTCCCATAAGTTGGAGTTATTATATGATTGGAGAAGGTGTCCTGTTTTATCATTCATTTGGAGCCTTCGTGAACATCGTGTCGAGTCTATGTTTTTGTTTAGAAAAAATTTGATGTAATGATGTACTCCCTTTGTCCCAAAATTATTGTCCACTTTAAGAATTCACTTTTAGTACAATTTGAACTAGAAATGAAAACACAAACTGGATAATAATTATAGGACGGAGGGAGTATTTTGTATCTTCATTTTGAATGTTTTGTTAGGATTCTCTCTTTTCTTTTTCTTTTTTTTTTTTTTTCTCTTTTCTTTCCCTGCCATAATGTCTGGACGTTCCTTTTGGTTTTTTTAATATTTTACTGTGCTCATGCTTGAAGTCCTTACATAGGTGGTAATGTGTATTCCACTATGTTGAAATCGCATACATTACAATCAAAGCATGTCATTTGTATTTACGGAATAAAGACATCTGGAAAAAGTTGCACCTTCTAGTTTTGTTTCTTATTTGCTGTCTTATTGTATTTCTGATTTGCAGGTCTTTGTAGAGAATATTCAGATGTCTTTGCATTTGGTGTCATACTTTGTGAGCTTCTATTCAAATGTAAAGTTGAGGAACATCCTGGGGATGGATGGGTTTATATCTATAATGAAGCTCAAGAACTCTATCCCTTGAACACGATGCTTGGAGTATCATTTGTTGACAAGAGTTTGAAAAAAGATCCTCATTTTAAAGCTCCTGATGGACCAAAAATCTCCAGGTTGGCAAGGCTTTGCGTTGATCTTGATCCTAAAATCCGCCCCAATATGGAGCAAGTCGTGAAGAGTTTGGAGAACCTCCAGGTTGTGATAGATAATGTTGGAACGTTCACTGATATTTAGACAACAATTCTGTGAAGGCTTGTTTGGTGCAGTTGCTTCTATTCTTAGTGGTGATTTTGTAAACCCGACAAATTACCGTCTGGCTCGCCTGATAGGTTTTGTTTGCATTGTACTATATTATTGGCCTCGTCTTGCTTATATCTGACAGTTGTAAATGCCATTAGTCTCAGCAGATTTCTTGGATTAGTCGTTATATTCCTGAATTGCGATCTTGGGCAATGAGCATCATGCAAACCATTTCAAACTAAGTCACAGTGGTTGATCGAAAGCAAAATTTGCATTGGTATTGTTGATTTGTTTAGTTTATGCACATGACCGCCATGCGATTTGTGCTACCATCAACGCTTTTGCGTCAGCGAAATGTAATGTTTATATGCAGTTGAGATTATAAAATGAAAGCTTCACTTCAACTTCTTCTTCTTTAGTTATTATTATCAAAACTTTTTGTTACGCAGTTTAGCTTTAGCTTTAACAACATAATGCAACATAGGAGGCAATGGTGGGTATTCTAAAGATTTGAATGGTTTGTTCACACTTCACACGCATTCTCGTGTAATAATACTACTTTAATTCGGCCGGGAATCAGGAGCAAATCCAGTTTCAATATCCGTTCTGGTAAATTAGAGTGCAACCTAGCCAAATTGATTGGCACCTCGCCGAAACTGATATTGATACAACGGAGTTTGTTGGATGCACTTCTGGTCACACAGCCCTGATTTTCTTTCATTTTCTCTTGGCGTACGGCTGATTGCGTAGGGTTTGATCTTTGTTCCTTTCTTTTTCTTGGTACTAGTGGATTGTTTTGTGTGAATTTGTGGAATGAAATCGATGGTCTCAAAATTTGGTTTTCAAATTCCTTCGTTTCTTAACATATTTGGGTCATCCTTAGCCTGTATTTAGCGATTCTTGCACACCTACCATTCTGTGTTTCACTTGTAGATTTTGAGAGTGTTTTTTTTTTTTTTTTTTGTATGTGTAAGAGTGGATAAATTCTCTTTCTTTTTTTTTTTTGCTTTTCCCTCCTTTTTTGTTTTTTTTTTTTTTTTGTTTTTTTGATTTTGGCTGTTGTCTGTACCGTATGATGGATGGCGTCTGCTGGAGGGGATCAAACTAGAGTGCCCGAACTTCAAAAACAAGATCTGGAAAGTTTCACAAACAATTTTAGTGACGATAATTTTATCTGTCAGGTTCAGTATTGCCATCTTTATCATGGTAAGATCTACGAATTCAAAGGTATGCTGCAAAAACCATGCATTGATGTAGATGATCCTGGACCAACTGGATCAACAAATGTTGTTGTTGAAATTGTAAATAGGGACTGAATTGATTGTGTACAGGGACTCGATTGTACATGACTGTAAATATTAGTTCTTGGTTAGTAAATATTTTAGGTCAATTAGTCAACTAATCATTAGCAGGCTTTATTATTTGTTCATATGATTAACCGCCTTTGTATATGTATATAATACAGCACTTTACGTGCTAATCAAAAATGAAGAGATAATTTTCCAGAAACCGTCTTTTTCTTCTAACTGTCTATTCATGGATTCCTTCTTCCTTTCTGTAAACCCTAGTGGTGCTTGCCGAGTTCACCAAAAATATTACTAGCTTGGATTATAATTTTGTAGATAATGGAAGCTAGGTCGATCCCACGAGGACGGCTAATTACCAAATTTGTTGTAAAGAAAGACTACCAATCAGACAAGGTGTCACTCAGGAGAATGGGAACAGTCACTCAGGGGAATGAAAGCCAGGGGTGTTCTTCTCCTCTTCCTACTGTTGTAGTTGTTTTATTACCACTGTAATGGTTGAGTTCTTGTTCATTCAGCTCACTTATAACTCTAAGTCAGTTCCCATTTTTCCTAGAGTCATCTTTGCAACCTTAACAACCTATTTTCCAATGATTGATTCAGCTACAAAGTCATTAAGTTCTTAGGCCTTCAAGAATGCTTATGTTAACTAAGTATATTCCTATATTAGTTAAAACCATAGACTGTTACCTCTATGTCATAAGTTAAAGTTGAAATAATCCAAACCAAGTTTATCCTTCCAGATCTCCCTTAGTTCTAGCATGCATTCAATTTAGTGATCAAGTAAATGAATGTAGAAAAAACTTTCAACCATAAAACAAGGAACAAAACCAGTGCTTTGACAACTACAACATCAGTTGAGGAGAATAACCCCTGGGAACTGTTTAGCTACTCATACAGATTAATGCTACATCTACTATATCGAAAGACATCATAGAAGTATGCATAGTAAACAAAGTTCAAGCTAACAGTCAAGAGATGAGAAGGAAGCTTATGCAGTTTCTGAGTCACTCCTGGGAGTGAAAGGGTTCACTCGTGGAACTGGAGAAGAAACTGGGTTGCTGCTCCTCAACTTGGCTTCCTCACTGAGTTGTTGCTACTTCTTCTTCTTTCTTGTCTTCTACCTGGAGTTTTTCTGGGTGTTTTTGCAATTGAAAGGGTAACCAGAGATTGATTCTCCTCCATGTGAGAGTGCAGCTCCCTCTTTTATAGTGCCTTGCAACCGGTGTCTTCATCATGAGAACCTCCCCATGCTTGGAGTTGTTTAATCCTCCCAATATCTTGAGCCTGCAATCCAACTTGGCCGTTCCTTTTCTCTGTTCCAGCAGTAGCCGTTTTGCTCTCATTGATCAGCAGTGGTGGCTGAGATTGCGGCTGGGGGACAAGCATGCCTCTAGGAGGAGGCAAGGTCATTAATGACAAGATGCTTCTTATCTAAGGGCCTTCTTCTTCGTCCAGCTCAGCACCCTTGCCTCAGCAGCCCGTAAATTGCTCCTTTGGCTTCTACTTTTCAGAAATTATTCAGTCCGGTCCTTTCCTAACAATAACATGAAAATGAGCTAAGTAAATTGCACCAATGTTAGGAAATACCCCCAATTGTTCATCAAATACAAAGTTAAGTGTGATGCTTTTATGTAACAATTTAACCATTATCAAACTCCCCCAAACTGGAAGAATTGCTTGTCCTCAAGCAAAACACTAAACTCTTGTTGGCACTTTCAGAATTGCACTTAACAAATAGGGGAGACAAAATGACTGAAGATTGACTTACTCCCCTGAGTGAGGATTCCCACTCAGGTAAGTGACACTAAACAAGCAACAACCTTAAACACAACTAGATAGGTGCTGTCAACTTTCTGTCTCATTTTCAAGTGAAGAAAACATACATTTAAGGATACCAAATCTTTCTGCAATCCAGAGTCAAACAACCAACCTTCACAGGGAATTAGAATGCATATGCCACAAGTGTTTGTTCATGCCAAACCTACCAATCCATTCTAAGTTAACCGGTTAAACTTTTGGTGGTCATTCTTGTGGTCTGGTCTTGCCCAAGTTACTTGACTCAATTTACCTACTGAGACTTCAATCCTAGAGTTCCTGCACAGCCTTTATGCTTTATTTTTTTTATTTTTTTTATTTTTTTTCTTCTTTTTTTTTTTTTTGAATGGGATGTAAATGGACCAACCTACAGGGGTGTTATTCAACCTTATCTCTCCACTGCCTTATACCTCACCCCTTATTACTCCAACAGTTTGGAACTTTTTGTGGTGGTTCCTTGCTGTTACCCCTAAGGTTTCAGTTGATCCATTCCCTAAAAATATATTTTTTTTTTTAAACAAGCAAGCAGGCTGTGAATGGGTACCACAAAGGAAGTCTCAGATTTACGGCATTTCTCATCTAATTGTAGCTCAGAACTAGACACAGCTCTCAACAGTGGATTAGTCATGCCAAATTTTAAGATTTATGTTCTAGGCAGTCACTTCCACGAGTGGCATTGTTCATGTATGTGAGTGAGTGTCAGCCATTCTTCTTTCATGCATCAGATTCAGTATCAAAAAGTGATCAAAAAGTGGTTTAGCAAAATTGTTTTTCAAAACCATTATCATCCTAGACTGTTGACAGCTCCTTAGAAGATTGTCATTTTTTTTTTGAGAGATATTTTACAGAGTCAATCTAGACATGAACCTAATGGACCTAAATGGCACTGTCTTGACATTGACCTAACCACAAACTAACTACTACATTACTACTCCCCCAAACCTATTCGAAGCATTGCCCTCAATGCTTAATAACACCAACCCGGCAACATACATTAAACAGAAAACAAAGAAAAAATACAGAAACAACACATTAAACATTAACAGGAAACAAATAAATTGCTGATTAAAGGAAGTAGAACAGCACTTCCCTGAGTGTTCATTGAGGCATGCCGTGGAGTGGGTGGACTGGTGGATCATGCGGCATTGGGCAGTTTTCAGGGCATCCAATGCACTTGTGCATTTCCTGCAGGAATTTCTCCGTCCTCATCTGGCATTGGTGGACGTAATTCAGGATGAACCTGGTCTGCTTGTTGAAATCCCTCTGCCTCAATTGTCCAGTTGGAGTGGGGGTGGATGTTGTTTGTCCTGCGGATGAGGCACCTGGGGGTTTCTGGTCCAACTTATGCATCCTCAATGGTTGCTGCAAATTGCTCTCTGTGTCTGTGTGCAGGAAGGTCACCCCTACCCTTTTGCATAGCATGGTGACCATAACTGGGAAATACCAGCTCTTCAACTTTGGATTAGTGATGCATCGGGTGAGTTGCTCTCGGATGACTGAGGCTACATCAAATGGTGTGTCCGTGACAATGGCATACAGCAACAGAGCCATCTCATAGGTGACCTTAGCAGTGTAGGATGTTGGCATCAGATTGTAGCAGATGAAATGGTGCCACAGATTTAAGTCGGGCGTCTGCAACGCGTTTGCTGGAAATCCCAAAGGGTTTTCTTGATCATCTATCTCCCAACTTGTGCCCTGTTTTGCCAATCTGGACAGAATGGCCTGTTCCAGCGGTTGATTTGGATGCAGGGCAGCCAGGGTTTCTCTGTAATCGATGCTTATTCTTGGTAACTTCCAGATGGCCCTGATGGCCTCTGTGCTGCAATTGACGCTGATGCCTCTGACGAATACTCCATCTCTGGGGGCAGTGTG